GGATTTCATGGCTTGGAATACTTCTTTCCAGCCCCTTCTTGCCTGTAAGGTCTCTTTTGAGAAATGAGCTGACAGTCTGATGGGAACTCCTTTGTAGGTGACTGTCCCCTTATCTCTTGCTGCTTCTAGGATTCTCTCCTTCATTTTAATTTTGGCTAATGTAATTATGATGTGCCTTGGTGTGTTCCTTCTTGGGTCCAACTTCTTTGGTACTCTCTGAGCTTCCTGGATTTCCTGGAAGTCTATTGTCTTTGCCAGATTGGGGAAATTCTCCTTTATTATTTGTTCAAATAAGTGTTCCACTCGTGGCTGTTCCTCTTCCCCTTCTGGCACCCCTATAATTCGGATGTTGGAACGTTTAAAGATGTCCTGGAGGTTCCTAAGCCTCCTCATTTTTTTGAATTCTTGTTTCTACATTCTTTTCTGTTTGGTCATTTTTTTCCTCTTTCTGGTCCACTCCTTTGATTTGAGTCCCAGTTTCCTTTCCATTACTATTGGTTTCCTGTGCATTTCCCTTCATTTCAATTAGTTTAGCCTTCATATGTTCCTCTAATTTGTGACTAAAATCAACCAGTTCTGTGAGCATCCTGATCACCAGTGTTTTGAACTGTGCATCTGAAAGTTTGGCTATTTCTTCGTCACTTAGATTTATCGGCTCTGGGGCTCTAAGTTCTTGAGCCATGTTTTGATCTGTTCGTGCCTGTTAGGTATGAGGAGCGGAGCCGTAGTTGTTCACCAGGGCGGGCCATCCAGGTGTCTGGTTTGTGACACTGTAGGTGGGGGTGGGGTCAAAGAGGGACAATGGCGGTCCCCTCTGCCGCTTCCTGCTACTGGGGCCTGCATGGTCTGTCTCACCGCTCCCTCCTTCACCGGTTTATCTGGGCACAAATGTGTGACCATGGTCAGCCTTCAGTGAGTCCACCACCTTGTGCTCTCAGTGGGTCTACCGCCTTGCGCTCTCAGTGGGTCTGCCTGCTTCTCCACACCTGGGATCCGCCTACGGCTGCCGGTGCGCCTGGGTCTGTGCCTGGACCGGTTTAGTGGATCTTTCCTGCCCAACCCCGCTCTACTGCTGCCCCTCTTACCGGTTTGGCTGAAGGGTTCGTTGTTGTCAGACTTCCGTGCAGTTCAATTTTCTGTGGTTTGGCTGCGTTTTTGTTGCTAAAACTTTGTTGTTTTTAAACTTGGTTGTGTGAGAAGGTACCGTGCTTCCACCTACGTCTCCATCTTGGCGGAAGTCTCTCCTTCACCTTTTTCACCCAGCCCCCTAATCTCCCTCTTCTCTAACAGCTGTCAGTCTGTTCTCTGTATCTGAGTCTGTTTCTGTTTTGTTTGTTTATTTTGTTCATTTGATTCCACATATAACTGAAATCATTATTTCACTCTCACTAGCTTATTTCTATAGTAGAAACATTTAAAATATCCCTGATGGCCCTGAGGTTAATGACTGGGCATGATTGATACTGATTTGCTTGGATTCATTGAAGAAGTGTTCTTACTATATTTTGTTATATTTTTTACTGTATTTTTAGCATTGTTTTAGGCTCTGTTGTAGAACAGCAAACGTGATAGACAAGGTCCTCCCCATCTTTAATTTATACAAGATAATTTCAGGTTGTAAAAATGTTGTGAAGGGATTAAATTGGGTTAGGAAAGGCTGTAAACCATATACACTGTATTTGTCCTAGGGAAAATTATGGGTGGGACTGATCAAGAGGGAAAAATAATGAATTAAATTACTTTAACTCATTAAAGTAATTATAATTACTTTACAATTATATAAAGATATATAATATATATTATAAGAGAAGATATAGTTAATCATGTCTGTAGGAAGTATATCTTATAAGAACTCATGTTGTTATTTATGTTTAAGAATATTTTGCACATTTTGTTGGTAAAATGTTTTGTGTAATCAGGTAAATATGTCTTAGAGATGCTAACGGTGTGCAGAAAGTATTTTCTTCAAAGAGTTTGTGCAGTTTTGACCTCTCGGTTAATATAAAAGAACTGGGGATTGTTTAACTCCTTAAAAAACAAGTACATAGAGGATGTCTGTGATGATATATGAGTGGTAGAGAAAAGATTTAGCCAGCAAGCTTGAGAGCATCTTGGGCATGGTACCTGCCTATCATTTCTTTTACTAGCATGGTTCTAACTAGCACAAGTAAACCACAATGTTCATGAATTTGTGTTACCTCATCTTTCCTAATGCAATCACTGCATGGAAGGAGACACTAAAAGAGAATAAGATAGAGCAATCAACAAAAATACTAAATAGGGCACATATTTATCCTTAGGGAGCTTATAGTCTAGAGGGGATGGAATGTACATAAACTAAGTAGTTATAATACAAAGTGGTAAGTGCTGTACTGACAGATGTGGGGTAGGCTCTGTTAGAGCTTAGGAGTCAGGGGTGCCCTGCTGGCCTGTGGTTTTAGGGAAGGCTTCACATAGGAGGTGATAATTGAGCTGCAGTGTGGATGAGGAATTAGGTGGAAGAGGTCTGAGCAGAGCATTCCAGGCAGGAGGGGCATACAAAGGAGCAAGGGGAACTGCAGAGTATTTCGTAAGAATGCGAATAGTGTGGGTGTGAGAGATGGTGAGTGATACGGGGGATCAGAACCAGAACGGTCTTATGTGTCATTGCTAGGGAGTTGGAGTTGATCCTCAAGGGGTGGGGTGCTTTTGAAATTTTTTGAATAAAGAATAATACTTCAGACAAGAATATCCAACTACCTTTTCACCATCATTTGTGACTAATAGGCATCTCAGACTTAACATGCCCCAACATGCTAACTCCTGATTTCTACCAACACCTACTGTACCTGCTTTTCCCCATCTCAGTAAATGGCTTTATTCCTTGAGTTGGTTAGTTCAGTCATCCATAATTTCCTTTTCTCTCATACCTCACAATTAGTCCATCAGCAAATACTGTTATTTCCCCCTTTAAATTCTCCCAGAAGTTGTCCACAAATTTACTACCTCCATTGTGACCACCCTGGTCTGAGCCACCATCATCTCTAGCCTAGATGACTGCAGTGGCCTCCTGACCAGACTAGACTCCCTGCTTCCTGCCTTGCCCCTCGGCAGTATATTTTACACACAGCAGTCAGGGACTCTTCTAAAAGGTGAGGTCATGCTATTTCTGCTCTTGAACTTCTGATGCCTTAACTTGCTTCAAGTTCTCCATAGGGCCACAAAGCCAATGTCTGCACTTGGCTCTCTCTGCCACCACTGTTCTTCCTTATTCTGGGTCAGTACACTTGCCTCCTTTCTGTTCTTCATACCTTGCCTACATGCTTGCCTCAGGACCTTTGCATTTACTGTTCTCTCTGTGTGGAACATTATTCCCCAAGCCACAGTGTTCTTCCTCACGATCTGCTCCTGAGGCCTTCCCTGATCACCTTATATAAAATAGCCAGACTTCTCAGGCACTCTCTGTTCTTCCCCACCCCTGTAGATTTACTACCATTTAACATGTATGTAGTTTTTCTGTAATGTAAGCTCTAAAAGGTTAGGAACTTTGTTTTGTTCATTGCTCTCTCCTTAAGGCATAAAACATAAAGTAGCCACTCAGCAAAGTTTTGTTGACTTAATGACTTGATTTGCATTTTTAACACTTTTACCCTGGCAAGCTTGTGGATAATGAAAGGGTAAAGGTGTGTGCAGAATTGACCCTTGGAACTGAAGTAGTCCAGTCAAGAGATTTGAAGGGCATGAAGTCAAGAATTACTTGGGAGGGAGAACTGACTAGCTTTGGCAACTCACCGGACAGGGAGAAGTGAAGGATAATGACTCCCAGATTTCTGGCTTGGTGTTTGGGCAGATGTTGTCAGGAGCAAATGGAGCCATGGGGATGAATGAGATAGACCGACCATCTGGTTTGTCCAGGACTGTCGGTTTTAGCACCAAAAGGCCATGTCTCAGGAAATCTCTGAAGTCCAGGCAAACCCAGGTGGTTTGTCACTTTAATGTGTGAAGTGAAAAGATAGGTAAAGAGAGAACCCACTGTTACAGACAAAGAGGAGGTAATCAAATCTATGCAGGAAATCGAGTGGGGGCAGTTAGGGCAGTAGCAGGAAACTCACGGGGCATGGGATCATGGGAGCTAAGAGAGCAGATGCTTCAAGAAGAGTGGTCAACAGTGTAGGCTGGGATTACCTCCACATTTTCGAGTTTGAGTTTCTAGATTTCCTTGGCAGAAGTATGATGTGTTATAGACTCAGTATATATTTCTCGAAATAAAAGATACAAATGATATGCCTCTTTTGCTGTTTTTGTTAATCCGTGAGTTGTAGAGGGGAGCCAACCTCTGATACTTGCTGGATCATAGGGATAAAAATGAATTTAGTATTTCTACACTGAGTGTGTGGCAGTCTCGGGTTAATGAACACTCCTGGGTGCTGGGACTAAGCTACTGCACTGTGCAGTTCCGGAACAGCACTGAATCTGAGTGACCCTAAAACGAATTGCAGAGCTGGACATTTGTGATCATGTACTTAGTGGTTCTTGATGTCTTGGAACCCTTTTGAGAAACTTTTGAAAACCCTGATCTGTCACTCTGTGAAAAAGCACATATGCATTTTACTTAGAGTTTTGTGGGTGGAGGGTTGGTTACAGATGGCCACGGAAATCCCGTGGTCGAAGAATCACTAATCTGTGTGGTACAGCCCTCCCATTTGATACTTCAGGATATTGAGGGACCTAGAAAAACGAACTTATCCAGGATTGCGTAGTGACTGAACTTACTCCTGGTTGAGTATTGTGTCCATGGCCTGTTACCGTTTTCTTGCAGGCTCACTCCTTCTGGGCCTGTTACTAGGTTTCTTTCACTTCATTTATGACCCAGGTCATTGTACCATCTCAGTAAGTTGGCTTCAACTTAAGTCCAGAGACTGAGTATATCTTTTGATGACCTATCTTTTAAGTCAAAAATTAAGAGTTGATGAGGTGACAAACTCTTACTAATGACTTCCTTGTATCTTGTTTTGGAACAGGATGCTGTATGATTATGTTGAAAGGAAGCGAAAAGAAAATTCGGGAGCCCAGCTGCACGTCACCTACTTAGTGTCTGGCACTCTTGTTCAGAATGAACATTTGGTAAGTTTTCAGAATGTTATAATGAGCTTAAATGTGTTTGAGCTATAAAGTGTTAAGTAACAATATAGGGGTGGGAGAACACAATATTTAGTATTTTGGAAGTTTTAAAAGCTACCTGGCTCTGTCTGATGTGGCTTGGTTGGAGCGTTGTCCCTGTTACCAAAAAGTACGTTTAAATTCCTGGTCAGAGCACGTGCCTAGGTTGTGGGTTCGGTCCTGGGTTGGGGTGTGTATGAGAGGCAACCAGTCGTTGCTTCCCCTGTATCAGTGTTTCCCTCTCTCTTTCCCTCCTTTCCCCTCTCTCTAAAAATCAATAAGCGTGTCCTTGGGTGAGGATTTTTTTTTAAAGCTACCTAAAGATTATTTTGAATTTTTAGAATAAACCTAAAAGTCTTGAGAAGTTTTGGCAATATCTTAGCCATGACGCAGAGACTGGAGCATTATTTTGCCATTTTCCTGCACAGCAAGACATTGGGAGACTGCTTCTGTTCCTCCTCTTTCTCCTGAAAGTGTATGAAGGAAAATGGTGGTTCGTTTCCATCCTGTTCAAATGTGAAGTCACACACTTAGCTGTTGAGAAAGTATAATTTTACTATTTTTTAACTGAAGTTGATTTTAATTTGAGAGTTCATTTTTGTAGGCTTTGGCAGGGATCTGCTAATGCAGAGGCATGGGTTAGCAGCAGCTTTATTTTCATGCATCTTTTCTGGTCTGGTATGTGGTTACCCTTCACATGGGTCACTGCTTCATTTTCATCTTCCTGACCACGGTGCTCCCTCAGGTCTGCTGACTTTCTCTTAGCTACTTCCACGTCCCCGTTGGGGACGGAGGGATCATTCTACTCCCATGACATGGGAAGCTCTGCTGTGATAACTCATTTTTCTGCACCAGATTGATTCTTGGGAACCTTGATACTTCTTCCTCTCTGGCTTCCTCCCGGAAGTAAGGCACACTTCCTCTGTTCTCACTTCCCCAAACCTCTGATTTGAAGGTTCTTTTTGCTCCTACCACAACCACCAGCCCTACAGAACCTAGCCCAGCAATCGGGGCTCCCCAGAGACCTGCCAGTGTCTGTGTTCTCTCTGACTTTCCCTCAGGCTCATGTGTTCAGAAGCCTGATTTACCAAAATACTGACTGAATTTGTCTTAGAACAATAGAGCCCCAAGCTTGTGAGATTTAAAACTAGAATGACAATGGAATAATTTACAAGGAGAAACAAAATTGCTAGGGGGATCAGATCCTTGTATTCTCCGACCAGCAATTTCTTTCCTTGTTGGTAAGCTATTTGACAAGCCAGATGATAATCAAGATATTTGCAAGTGTAGAATTAGATGTCATCGTGTGTCTGAAACCCAGAATTAAGCAGACCTGACTGATTTACTCTTAGAAGTAAACACGGCACTGGAATCCTCTCTTTGCATGGCTCTTGAATAGATGCTGCCGCAGTCTGCCTCTGAGGGTCTTCTTTCCTTTTGTGTCCAGGGTTCAGTCTCCTCCTCCTGCCTCCCTTTAGTCAGTGCCTTCAGTCTAGTCGTAGCCAGTTCTTTACCTGGGAGTCCTTGTGTTTCTTTAAAACAGTGAACTTTATTTTTATTCTTTTTTTGGTCACTGGTTTTTTTGAGAATCTGAAAGAAAAATTCCTACATTGATATATTTGAAAATTTTTGAATGTTCACACATAATTCTGGAGCAGGGTCCATAAGAATTTATGTTTTAAGATAAAGTTGTAAATTTTTATTCTAAGCCATATGACAGAGTTTCTTAATTTAGAATCTTTACATGGTTCTGGGGATTCAGGGGGTTTGGGGATAAACCGATGAAAGTGGATTCAGACAGTGTTCCTTAGTGCATTGTTTGGAGATGATTTTTCAGAATGAGGTGTAACCCCTGTTAGTTAAAAACTTTCATGCTGTGGCTTGCTTATGAAGGCCTTCTGTTCTGATATTTAAGAAGGCATGAATATTCTCCCCATCTTTTTTTAAGCAGCAGAATGCTTTAAGACAAAATCTTAATTAAAATCCTAATATACATCCGGACTGGTGTGGCTCAGTGGATTGAGGGCCAGCCTGAGAACCAAAGGGTCGCCAGTTCAATTCCCAGTCAGAGCACAAGCCTGGTCCCCAGGGGGCCAGGTCCCCAGAAGGGGCCATGTGAAAGGCAACCACACATTGATGTTTCCCTCCCTTGCTCCCTCCCTTCCTCTCTCTAATAAATAAAGTCTTTAAAACAATACAATCCTAATATGAAAACACACATCGACAGTGGGATCGCTGAGGTTGAAGGGATTGTGAGGATTTGGACTCTGCTCACCCTCCTCCTGGCCTCACGGGCCGGCCTGTGGAGCCCTGCGGAATGACTGACCGAGCATGGGTACTCACAGTGCCTTTTTCCTAGGAGAGAGCCCTCCTGTGGAAAGTCAGTATTAAGCATGATTTCTCGTTTTGTTGTTTTAAATTTCTTTAAGTTTTAAGTGTTTCCAGAAAGAAAAGAGATAAATTATACGCTTTGAATGGGTTTTGAAATATACTTTTTATTTTTCCAATGATCGTGATTATTGTAAAAAATTTTTGACAAAAGTAAAAGCCTCCTTCTAATCTCATCCCAGAGGGAGGGTCTTCAAAAGAATTACTTGGTTTTTTCCCCTTTCTTTTTTAGACTCTTTTATTTAAAAAAATTTTTTATTGTGTATATTTTACACTTGTTCCAATTTTTCCACCCTTGCCTCCCTGCCCTCTGTGCCCCCTCTCACAGTCAGTCCCTGTACCAGTGTTCATGTCCGTGGGTGGTACATACATGTTTTCTCTAATCCCTTCACCTTCTTTCAACCAGTCTCACCCTCTCCCCTCCCCTCCTAGAGGTGTCAGTCTGTTCCTTGCTTCTGTGCCTTTGATTCTGTTTTGCTTGTTAGTTTATTTTGTTCCTTAGATTCCAGTTATAAATGAGATCATACAGTATTTGTCTTTCATTGCCTGGCTTATTTCACTTAGCATAATAGTCTCCAGTTCCATCCATGGTGTTACAAAAGGTAGGAATTCCTTCTTTTTTTACAGCCAAGTAGTATGCCATTGTGTAAATGTCCCATGGTTGTTTTATCTACTCATCTGCTGATGGACACTTGGGCTATTTCTGTATCTTGGTGATTGTGAATAACGCTGCAATGAACACAGGGGTGTTTAAGTTCTTTGGAATTAGTACTCGAGGTTCTTCAGATTAATTCCCAGAAGTGGAATTGCTGGGTCATGAGGCAGATCCATTTTTAATTTTTTGAGGTATCTCCATACTGCTTTCCATAGTGGCTGCACCAGCCTGTATTCCCACCGACACTGCACTCAGGTTCCCTTTTCTCCAGGTCCTCACCAGCCCTTGTTTGTTGATTTATTAATATTAGCCATTTTGGAAGGTGTGAGGTGGTATCTCATTATGGTTTTAATTTGCATTTCTCTGATAGCTAGTGATGTTGAACACTTTTTCATATGTCTGTGGGCCCCCTGTATGTCCTATTTGGAGAAGTATCTATTCAGATCCTTTGCCCATTTTTTTTAAAAGATTCTATCTATTTATTTTTTATTTTTAGAGAGAGGGGAAGGGAGGGAGAAAGAGAGAGAGAAACATCAATGTGTGGTTGCCTCTTGCGTGCCTCCCACCAGGGACCTGACTTACAACCCAGAAATGTACCCTGACTGCGAATTGAACTAGTGACCCCATGGTTCACAGGCCTGCACTCAATCCACTGAGCCACACCAGCTGGGGCCTTTGCCCATTTTTATATTGGTTTGTCTGTCTTTCTGCTGTTGAATCCTATGAGTTCTTCATATTGGAGATTAAACCCTTGTCTGATGTATCACTGGCAAATATATTCTCCCATACAGTGGGTTCCTTTTTCATTTTGCTGCTTGTTTCTTTAGTTATGCCGAAGCTTTTTAATTTGATGTAGTTCTATTTGTTTATTTTTTCCTGTGTTTTCCTTGCCCTAGGAGATATATCGGCAAACATACTGCTATGCAAGATATCTGAAGTTTTACTGCCTGCGTTTTTCCTCTAGAACTTTTATGGCATCACAACTTACATTTAATTTTTATCCATTTTGAGTTTATTCTAATGTATAGTGTAAGTTGGTGTAGTTTCATTTTTTTGCAAGTACTAGTCTAGTTCTCTCAATGCCTGTTATCGAAGAGACTGTCTTTACTCCATGTATGCTCTTGCTTCCTTTGTCAAATATCAAATGACCATAAAGATGTGGATTTATTTTGGGGCTCTCTATTTTGTTCCATTGTTGTATGTGTCTCTTTTGCTATTACCAGACTGTTTTGATTACAGTGGCCTTGTAATATAGTTTGATGTTAGGTATTGTAATCCCTCCAACTTTGTTCTTCTTTCTCAAGATTGCTGTGGCTATTCTGGGTCTTCTTTGGTTCCATATATATTTTTTGAATATTTGTTCTAAATCTTTGAAATACGCCATTGATATTTTAATAGGAATTGCATTTAATCTGTAGATCGCTTTGGGTAGTATGGACATTTTAATGATGTTAATTCTTCCAGTCCATCAACACAGTATAGCCTTCCAATTATTTGTATCTTCCTCAGTTTCTTTCTTCAGTGTCCTATAGTTTTCCAAGTGTAGGTCTTTTACCTCCTTGTTTAAATTTACTCCTAGGGCCCTGGCTGGTGTAGCTCAGTGGATTGGGCACAGGCCTGTGAAGCAAAGGGTCGCCAGTTCGATTCCTAGTCAGGGCACATGCCTGGGTTGCAGGCCAGGTCCCCAGGGGGGACACATGAGAGGCAACCACACATTGATGTTTCTCTCCCACTCTTTCTCTTTCCCTCTCTCTAAAAATAAATGAATAAAAATATTAAAAAAAATTTACTCCTAGGTACCTCATTTTTTGTTGTTGCAACAGTAAATGGGATTGTTTTCTTAGTTTCTCTTTCTGATAGTTCATTATTGGTGTATAGAAATGCTTTTGACTTCTGAGTATTGATTTTGTAGTCTGCTACT